ATAATTATTGTCCAGTTTGAAATTTCACTTTTAGTATACTTTAAACTATAAATAAAAATTCAAACTGCACAATAATTATGGGACGGAAGGAGTACTTACAATTATTGCAAATGACATACGTATGTATATAAATACACTAAAAATTAAAGTGCCGCCTAAGATATTTGTACTCTTAACAAATCTTCCATTAATTTTTTAAAACTCTAACAAGATTAATAGTCTCTTCTAAATCTAAATTTCGCTTTTCAAAAACCTGAACGTAGCCATTCCTCCTCAAATTACTAAAGTCTCCATCAGAAGCTAAAATTAATTCATCATCCAAATGGATTTTATGAAAATTTGAAAAAAAAAATCACAGAAGGTTTTTTGTTGAAGATACAAATATCTTTTTAATATTTTTTTATAACTGTGTCTCACATGCATACATGAATTTTAAATCGCCGAAAAATTCTTTTGATAATTTACTTAGTAGTCAAGAGATATTTTTGATATTTTATTAAATAATACTAACAGTGTTTTAGAAAATCAAGTTAACCCCGGTTTTTTTTTTAAAATAATATTAACCGAGAAGCAATTACATGTAATTGAATGTCATGCGTCATAAAAAAAAAAAAAAAAATTCAGCATGGAGGTACGGCGTACATATGAAGTTCAACGTTTTATACATTGTGATGTAAATGAATTATCCATATCAGTCATCGGAATTGTGATTGTGTCAAAATTGATAAGAAAGTGTGACTGTGTCAAAATTGAACCTCCGAATATCCAGGATGTGGCGACTTGTGCTATAAGTTTTTACGCACTTGGAATCAGCGTGGAACACCTGCCCCTCCCTCCCAGTCCCCATGCATAAAAAATCATTCCGCTTCAAGTTTTCAACCTCGGTCTATAACCCTAAACTCATCCCCAAGTTGTGAGAATTGTTCCCAAATTACGAAGGACATAAAAAGAAAGAACCAAATACTGTTAAGTTGACACAAAAATTAATCTTTTGAAACACAATAAAACCTCTCTAGTCTTTGGAAACATATATGAGAAAGGTTGTGATGTAAAGACTCATTAAGCTGTAACAAAAATTTGGGTATTTGAATCTGCCTTTTAGTATATGATAATTTTAAATATTTTGGCTAGCTAGTAATCTAACTAATCAAGGTACATAAATTCAACGCGCCCTTCATATGCAAACAAAAATTGAGGAATACATGAAAGTAAACTGATAAATTGTACTACTGGGAGTTTGATGAGGTTCTCGGGTTTATGTGATATATGCAAGAGAGAAAATTTGTAATTCAAACCTTGGGGGAGCTGAAGCTAAACGAGTAAACGTTACACATATATATATTACTACGTACAATTACCTTGGAACTGATACATAAATTTGATTCCATAAAATTTTTTTCCCTAGCATGTACTACAGAATAACGATTTAAGTTCAAACTACATATTCCCCAATGTCCATGGTTACCAAATTCGAACCTTGTTCAATTTGATGATTAAATTGATAACTTATAACCAATAGTTTTAACTTTTAACATCCGAAAGTGTGTATGCCAAACGTTTGGTTCAAATTGTTTCTTCAGGAATCAAGGCGTACAAAGACTTTGCCTTTTTGTGGGTTAAATTATATTCCATCCCTTCAAAGAATAAGAGTCCGTTTTATTGTATTGTCACTATAGTTTTATTTTGAAAATGTGATAACACATACTTTTGTTTTTCTTTTTTTTTTTTTTTTACAATAAAAGAGGTAAAATGCCTAGAGATTCTAGATTATCGGTATGAAATACCAATTACATCATGATGTAATTTAAGTTTTAAAATCGAAGGTGATTCTTTTCTTTTTTTTTTTTAAATGATAACACTTTCTGGGATTGAAATAATTAAGATTGTCAAGGAATCCGCAGCAAAATTCGGTTACCAATGTAAGTGGTTCAACTCCACACACCATGTCCTCTTCATTAGATCTTGGATAGCCATTACCAAACTTCTATGCTTGCTCTAGCCCTTATACCATCTTAACATATTCTCTAATAGACATATTAGTTGAATTCTTCGTAACTAAGAATTGATTTTGTGACTTAAAGGTGGATTCATAATACTCGTTAAACCACAAATATATGCAACCATTTAATACTCGGCACAACCCGGTGCACACGGTTACGGCATACACAATTACACATAGACAAAGTTAAACATGAATGGGCATAAAATGGGTTATAAATGAGTGGATGTGACACAATTAATCGAAATTCCCTAACGTTCCACCCAACACCAAACAGAAACGGAGAATTTATACATCAAATTTTCTAGTCCTTTTTATGAAGTGCTAGAGATTGTGTACATGTATCACTAAAACTAATTAAAAAGTTAGGTTAAAACTAGTTGTTTCTCTTATTAAAAATTTATTGCATGATCTATAAATATGAAAGATCGGAGTAAGAATATTCTAAACAATTTTTTTTTTTATGTGGCTTTTCGATAGAAAGGAGACTCTTTTCAGACTTGAAAGATAATGAAAATTAATAAATTATCCTCAAAAAACAACCCAAAGAAAAACGTAACTTTCAAGTGGATAAATTTAAGTAGTATGTGGATGCCTCTCCTCAAATGAAAGTACAACACATTTGGGGGCAACAAATTAACAAACAGGTTACGTCTGTAAACAAACTGATTAACTAGTACATGTGTAATGCCAATAACGTTTTAAAGCAATTAGTGACCAATTTCATTGGCTCCCCCAAAACGCAATTGTGCTTTTTGCAAATTGGCAAAACTTCCCCCCTTCCAAAGTCCAAACAAACTTCTCCATTTGTGATCATTAACAGCCAACTGAAAGCTTATTGACATGTGGCAATAATTTTTCCGAAAAAAATGATGCTGTGACGAATAATGATTATTCGCGCAGGCAGTAAACAATACTCCGTCCGTCCCAAAATTATTGTCCAGTTTGAGTTTTCACTTCTAGTACAAATTGAACTAAAAATAAAAATTCAAACTGGACAATAAGTATGGGATAGAGGGAGTATATTTTATGCTGGAATGGCACCTGTGAATCTTTAAACCTAATCAAACAATATTATTGGGTTTTCTTCTCACTTATTGATGAACAAACTTTTTTGATATGTACTGTATGTCATATGTAGTAGCAAAGAATGAACAGAGTCAATATAGAAAATGAATTTTTAATAAGAAGAAGAAGAAGAAGAAAATAATCTAAAAGAATATGTATATGATTAGGATAAAAAAAAATCAGGGGTTTTGATGGACGGTCCATGATTAAGACCATGTGCTCCTGTTGCCCCTCCTTGATTGATGATGCATATATATATATATATATATATATATATATATATATATATATATACTCTTTTTTGGACTTCTTCTTATTTTCCATCGCATTTGATTCCTCAGTTCCTAACTCTCTTGTAGAAAATAGCAGTCAATAATGCGTGGCTCGGTGACTTTCTTATGATAGTGAATAGATGGACAATTTTTCTCTTTTAGAGCAACATTTTGTCACCTTCTTTAAAAATTGACCTTAATATTGTGCAATTAAACATATACATACTAGGGTAATAGAAGCATCACTCGCTTGTAAATATGCATTTACCAAAAAGAGAATATGAAAAAAAACTCCACTTGAAGAAAATAGAATGCCATATTGGCCCTATGACATTTTTTTTAATTTAATTAAAAAAAAATGTTTGACAATTTAGTGAGAGACCGAACCTACACTAACCTTCCCTAGTAAAGCAGTGGAATTAACCATTTAACAATGACTCACTGTGACTTCATCCGTGGTACTACCTCGTAGAGGCGTTGCATTTAGAGCAACATGATTGGTTCTAATCTAAATTAAATTATTTCTATATTAACAGAGAAGTAAGCCTTTACCGTGATTTTGTGTTTTCCTTTCACAAAAACTCGTCCATCGAGATATAAAGAAAAAAGAAAAAAAGAATATCATAGTGTATAAATATAGTGTATCTGGGGAGCAAATAACAGGACTGGAATTTAGGGTCAAGGCAAAGGTAGACCCTGTACCTACTACAGATGGATTACAAAAATTTCAAATTTGTTTTTCTTTATTATTTTACTATTTATTTTAAACTTAATATGTTTTGGTTATCTCAAATTTCAAAATAGATTTCTAACATTTACTTTATCTGAATCAAGAAAATGATCTATCATTTCATTGTTCTAATTCAATAAAGAGTATAATTTTTTCTGAAACGAATACATTTTATTAGGGATCGCTCGCTACGAAGATGATTAAATCGAAATAGTTTATTCGTGAAAGACACAGTACTTATTATGATTACATTTTCGAAATTGAGGGTTTAGATTAACCTTTTATTTTCTTCTTTATGCCTGAATAGTGAATATTAAATTATTAATCACCGATTATTACTATTATGATTATTTTTTTCCTTTTCTCTTTTTTGTTCCAAAGCAGGCACTGAAATTTAAACATTCCGTTGATCTAAATCACCTAGGCAAAGTCGGCAGCAAAAGGACACGTGGTAGGCCAGATGTCAAAAGCGAAGAAGAGTTTAACTAACAACGAGCCGTTACAATAAAAACTCCTAAACCCCGAATTAGCAGTAAAATTAGTGAAACTAAGTCATAATCCTAATCCTAATCCGAAAACCTGGAGAAAAAAAAAAGAAGAAAAACATTATCCTAATTCACGTCTTGGAAAAAAACTTAATAAGACGACTTTGAAGTGGTGTTTAAGGAAAACCTTTTCAAAAATCAAAATTATAATCCTACTAATCAAAATTTAGGGAGTAAAAAAAATACTAATTCTCGGAGAAAACAAAAACAAAAACAAAAAGGACACACAGACACAAACACACCCCTGAGTTTACCATGAGCCCAGTCAATAAAACGCGTTATAAATCTTAAATTAATGAAAGCTAAACAAGGAACCGGCCCAAAGCACAAAACACACGAAATGACGAAACTGTCCACGGAGAATGTGTCGGGAGGATGGAGGATTCACCGGGGGCATATTGGTCAACACGGAAAGGGGAAATTCCATTCGGAAAAATATTAAATGGTTTGCAGAATGGAGAGAAGTGGGGTAGAAGACAAGAGAAACGGCTTCCTTGAAATCTTTTACAACTGCCACCCATTTAACAGAGAGGCTCCAACACATTACACACACTATTACACCTCCCTAAACACGCACCAACACCACCCCTTTTCTGCTTCCTTTTCCTTTGTTGGGTTTTTCCTAATAAATTTCTCTTCTTTTTTTTTAATTTTTATTTCTACAACAGTTTTTTTGCCTTGTATTTCGTACAATTCGTTTATCGATTCTCTATTGGATTTGGGGTGCCTTTTAATTTGTTCTGGCATCGGAGTTTCCAATACCACTCCTCGGATTTTCAGAAATTTTGTGTTTTTTTTGGCTGGGAGGTGAGAAGTTTCAAGGGGTTGAAATACCTACTTAGTAGCGGGGGAGATCTCACATTGGTGCTCTGGGCTTTTGCGGTAATTTTTAGTTGGATATTTTGGGTTTATCTCAGCTAATTACATTTTCTGGGGTGTTCGATTTTGGGTTGATCTGTGAAAGGAGAGCTTAATTTTGTGTGATAGATATTAATTTGTCTATATTTAGAGTTGAGGGCGGAGAAATATGTGGATTTTATCCAGATTTTGGGAGAAACTCTGTAAGGTGGCTGAAGGGGGATCTCGCTATTGCTCCAAAAAGTCCGATGATATGTGCGGTGAATCCTGCGATGAGGTAAACTCTTTTTCCTTTTCCGTTTCTTTTTTTTTTTCTTTTTTTGTTTTCATTTTTTGCCCTTTCTTTTCCCCTTTCTCTGGGTTGTATTTTGCATCATTAGCTGTGCAATTTCTTCTCTGCAATTTGTACTCTGATCCAGGGCAAGTTCCAAACTTTGTTGATGTTTTTTTGGCCCCTTTTTGCTTCCGACCTTTATGGCATTGCTGTTTTGCTTCTGGCAAATTTTTATGGATTTCCTTTTTTTTCTTGGTGTTTCTCATATGTATCTTCTAGGTAAAAATTGAGGTGCAGAAGTAAAAAGGTTTAGCTTTTTGTCTTCCAAAAGAGTAAATTCCTTTTTTTCCTTTCATCTGCTTATTCATTTGGGCGGAAAAAAGTCCAGGAGGGTTATAATTTCTGGGATTATATTTGTTTTCTTCTTCCTTAATCTACTTGCTCCTTTTGGCTGGCGAAGGGCCCATCTTTTCGCGTTGAATCTTATGCTGTCGAGCCATTGAACTGTCAATTAAATGTATTTTTAATAGTTTCCTTTTTGTTGGGATAGGTTTTGTTTGTTTCTAAAGATCAAAAATTGAATGGGGTAGTAGCGAAAAAATGTTCTACAATAATCAGGAAATTTGGTCTTGATGATTAATATCAGGATTTTTTTAATTTTTTTTTTTTTTTGGCTTTTGACATTGGCATATTCCTTCTTCAACTTCTGAAAAACTAAGTTGCTTTTTGTGCATTGGATTCTCCCTTTCCCCACTATCCAACATTCTGTTGTGGAGGCCCTCCGGCAAATTTTAGATTCTTCGTTTACACTAAGAAATTATATTAACAATAATGAGCTTTAAATGCCAGCGATAAACTTGTGTTGCTTTGATTTGCCTGTGAGCTATACTGTCTGTCATTCTTCCAGTTTGATTTTGCATTATCTTCAGCATATTCTGTTCACCATTGCTCTATTGATTCTGATTCTTTTTTTATGGGTGTTGCTTGCAGGACTCAGGTCGAGCTCTAAGCATGACAAGGCTGAAATGTATTTTGCGTGGCCTGGATATAAAGACATATATCTTCCTACTGATTTTAGTGCCAACATTAGTCTTTGCTGTCTATGTTCATGGTCAAAAGATTACATACTTTCTGCGTCCGTTATGGGAAGCGCCACCAAAACCCTTTCATGAAATTCCACACTATTATCATGAAAATGTGTCAATGGAGAACCTTTGCAAGCTTCACGGTTGGGGGATACGGGAGTACCCACGGCGTGTCTTTGATGCAGTTCTGTTCAGTAATGAAGTGGATATTCTTACTATAAGATGGAAAGAGCTTTACCCTTTCGTGACAGAATTTGTTCTGCTTGAGTCAAATTCAACATTTACTGGATTGCCAAAGCCCTTAGTGTTCAACAGTGTCCGAGATCAATTTAAATTTGTGGAGTCACGATTGACTTATGGTCAAATTCCAGGGAGATTTAAAAAAGGAGAAAACCCGTTCATTGAGGAGGCTTATCAGCGACTTGCACTGGATTTTCTTCTAAAAAGAGCTGGTATTCAGGATGATGACTTGTTGATTATGTCCGATGTTGATGAGATACCTAGCCGGCACACAATTGATCTTTTGAGATGGTGTGATGACACTCCGCAAGTCCTTCATCTTCGTTTAAAAAACTATTTATACTCTTTTGAGTTTTTGGTGGATAATAATAGCTGGAGAGCTTCAATCCATCGATATCAGTCTGGAAAGACAAGATATGCTCACTATCGGCAAGCTGAGGTGATACTGTCTGATGCAGGCTGGCATTGTAGTTTTTGCTTCCGTCGGATCAGTGAGTTCGTATTCAAGATGAAAGCGTATAGTCACTTCGACAGGGTTAGGTTTAAAAGGTTTTTGAACCCCAAACGATTGCAGAGGGTAATCTGTGAAGGTGCTGATCTATTTGACATGCTTCCTGAGGAGTACACATTCAAGGAAATCATAGGGAAAATGGGACCTATTCCTCATTCTTATTCAGCTGTTCATTTACCAGCTTTTCTTTTGGAGAACGCCGACAAGTATAAATTTCTTTTGCCGGGAAATTGCATGCGGGAAAGTGGCTGACTTGACCGGATTTGACTGGATGGCGTTCTTCTTGTAAAGGCTTTTGGTTGCAGAGCAGCTAGGTGGCTCCTCTTGGATAGTGTTTGTTAACAATTCATGATGGTAGTCTTGTCACTATTGGAATCATGCTACCATGCTCCCCTGAGCTATTTGCACCATTCTTTAGGACATGTTTGGGAAGCGTTGCTGAATGCTCTGAGATTCCTAGGTGAAATTTTGTATATATATATTTTTGAGAAATCGGATGTTCCTGCAGAATATGGAGTATAATCTGTTTCACAATCTGGGGAATTGTCATGGTAGTAGAGCTAAAGTCCCTTTTGCTTTGGGGCTTGTCTATGATGACTTTGTACCTGTGTACCATATGACCCCTTAAAAATGTGCCCTAGATACATTCTGGTTTCTAGGCTTTTTCCTGATATTAGGAAATTTTGTTTGCGGACAAGCAGACTAATTTATTCATATATTTTCCCAACTTGTGGCGTTGCTTAACTTTCTTCTAACCTCTATCTGGATAGTTTATCTACTCAAATTTTAGCTTAGAAGTACTGTATATGCTCCTTTAGATGGGACCTCCTTTCTTTCTGGGGAGGGAGTTGGTACAGTACACTAGTTGTTGAGCTATGTGAAAGTGTGCGCGCTCCTGTAGTGTAACCTTCCCTTTTTGGTATAGTTTGGAGTAGGTAAGGTTGTTCATTTTCTGCAGACTTAACCTTCAGTTACCTGAAGTCTCTTGATCACTGTAAACGAAATCTGTAAAAGCTCGGGACGATGTGTTCTTGCTGCCTGTGAAATAGGGTTTTTGCGGTGCACAAACTGAGGTATGGTAGATACAAATGTTTATTTGATTCTATAGCCCCTCCTCAGGCCCCAAGTTAGGATGAGTTCTGCGAAAAGTATTTCTTCGAAGTTTGTTTTGCGAGGAAGGCTGGGGGGAGGGACCCCTGATACTTGTATGCAGATTCGCTGCTGAATTCAGCTCTATGAACTCTTCAGACCCGGATTTGGGTGAATGTCACCCGACCAACATCATCCTGGTCAACCCTGCACTTGGAGGGTCAGAAGATGTAATTGAACATTTCAACCCTGGACCATTCATAATGTGAGGTTGAATGGTAGAGATTTTGACATGGAAAAGTAGAGGAGTCCAGCGAGGAAGTATCAGATGCCTCAACATTTAATTAAAAGTTTTGATTGATTGTTTATTTGTGTTACAACTTATAAGGTTGGCACATCTGTTGGGTCATATCCTCTTCACCGGAATCATCAAGAATCAGCAACGTGCTGCTCAATCATTGTGAATTGGTGATGATATACATACATTCAACAGTCTTTTAAGGATGGATATTATTCTGGGAGCAGCTTACTTAGTCTGGTGGATAATTGTCCCTTTTGAGAATTTCTGAAATGTGAACGACCTGTTGGTCCTTTTTTCTTTCTTTTTTATTGGTCCGTTTGTTTATCTGACATTTTCAACTGAGCAAAAGTCACATCTTTGTTATCACTTACGGTCTTTTAATTTAAAAATACAGTGCCACCCAAAATAACTTTTTTGCTTATCATACCCAAGAAATTTACATAGCAAAAAGAAGAATACAGTAATTATGCACTCCGTAGACATATTCTTCATTCAACTGATGAAAGAAAGATTGAAATTAAAGTAGTTAAATAAGTTGTTTTTCACAAAAAAATAAAAATAAAAATGTTAAGAATGGTTAAATGGTTAGATGCCAGAGAGGAAGAGTATCATTCCATCTGTTACTTCAATTAAAATGTTCTTTTTTCCTGTAAAAAATAATAATGGAAACCTAAATTTAATTATTCTACCGGAAACATCCCCAATCGCCTTAAATCTTTTTTCCAGTTTGTTCCCCGCTTGTTATTGTAGGCCCGATTTCATCAAATATTTAATCCGTTGAGACATGTGCAAACCAAATAATTTGACATTCCGTTTTGGATTAAATAATTATTGACCTTTACCAATCAAATTTTTATGTAAAACAATTCAAAAATTGTACCCCAAATTTTGAGCTGGATACTAACTACACTGCTCGAGGCGTAGACAAGCTCTTGATTTATTTAGTAGTACTAAGACAACTCAGTAGTAATTACTTGGGTTTTTTTTTAAAAAAAAAAAAAGTTTAAAAAGTCTACTGTTACATATCAATAGTGACTTGGCCTTATTTTAATTTTTATCTCATTTTACCTCTTAAACACAAAATCTAATACACTATCCAAACAACATTTTAATATACCTTTTGAAATGTTGCGTTTGGTCATTACACTATTGTTAAGTCTTCATTTTGGTCACTGAACTACTATAAAGTCTTTATTGCGTTTGATCAGTGAACTATTGTAAATTCTTGCATTTGGTCACTTAACTATTATAAAGTCTTGCGATTGGTCATTACACTCTTGTAAAGTCTTTATTTTAGTCACTGAACTATTTTAATTTCATAAATAACCACTGTATTATAATACTTTTCCAAATTAAAAACTAAACTATAATTTAAATCTCCTCCAAAATCCAAATCAAAACTAAAATAAAACGTTGTCCAAATAAGTTATTTGATGGTTGACACGAGGAGGAAAGAACGGGGTAGAGCCTTCCAACGGACAAAAAGATTTGAAAAGCTAAACTGAGACAATCTCAAACAGCAACATACTTTCTCTCTTTTTTTTTTTTTTGGTACAATAGCAATATACTTTCTTTACTAGGTCCTATGTATTTGTCTGAATTTTTGTATTTCATGGAATATTAAAAAAAGAAAAAAATACTTTACATTTTGCACTTGTTTTAAACAACATCATATCCCGTTCTGTTTTCTTGGTCTGTTTGTGTTACAATCGATAACATGTTACTTTTTGAGTAAAGGAAGAAGGAATATATAATTATTTTAAACAAAATATCTAAGTTTTGCTTTATGGTTAAAAGGTAGTTTCCTCATTTTTTTTAATGGCAAGAACATGGTGGGAAAAGACCTCTCAATAAGGCCTGAATTTCAGATTACGATGTCAAAATGACAAAATAGAACTAACAACCTATGTAATCACGCATTAATTTTTTTTAATCTAATACTCTAATGTTAGTGATGACGCTGACCACATTTTATTCCGCATCAGTTTGATATTGTAAGGACGAACAATAGTATAATAAATCACACAAATACGTTATCTTTTTTGGACAAAAAATGATTCTTGCATTTCATATGAGAAATAATATATATAACATCTCTCAGTCATTAGTTTTAAAGAAATTACGGAATACTCTATCGATGTTGTATACAACACATAACAGAATACAAAAGACTAGTTGAATCTTCAAGTAAACTTTGAAGGAGTCCCCCATTCTAGTAAACCAAAGTCTTTTTTTTGATGTTCTTTCCTAATTTTTCAATGTATTTCTAGCATTCATGACTTTTTCCGTGAACCTTCCCATCATAATTATTAGGTAGACGAACAATTCGACCCAATAATTACAAAGAGTCAGAAATTTGTAATTTTTACTTTAATTCTCATATATTTAATTTATTGCTTAAAATAATATAAAATAACAGAAATTATGAAATTTAATATTGATATTTAATGGAGTTTTTGGTCATAATCTTTCAAATAGTAATTTGAAGTGCTACATTATTTTTTTTGTAAGTTCCTGAGTTTAGCTATTTTTGTAATACAATATTTGAATAAAAATTATATTTCAAACAAACTCGTCGACTTAATCGTCGACATACATAAATCAACGACAAAGTAGACGAAGTTCGTCGAGCTAATAACGTTGATGGGTAAGTCGACTATCAATAATTTTATTTATTTATTTTTTTGGTTTTGTTTTGTTTTTTTAATCATTTTGAGTTATTCTTTGTGGTTTTATTGTGTTGTATCGGATTAACGTATGTGCAGTATGTAAAATTTATAAAAGGTTATATATCTGTTTTATTATTTGCGTAGATATGTCCATTTGCGATTTCAACGAGAAGAAGTTCGGAGGCCAAATTCCACTGAGCATTACCATGCAAAACTTGTATTTCAACTCAACTACTATGTTTTCCAATTATCATATCAATTTTTAATACTAAATACATTTTTGAAAAATCATAAGTTAAACCAAACTATCTATTAACACTTGATTATTTATTTTTTCACTTTCTTAATCGTTTATGGGTCGACGATGTATCTGAAGCACCGATTTGTATTGCTAACAAATTTTTCTCGTCTATTCGACATTTCATTTTTATTCAATTATTGTATTACAAAAATAAATAGACTTACGAACTTACAAAACAAATAATGTATGTAACAAGTAAACTTACCGTTTAAAAGATTATGACCCAAAAATCCGTTAAATATTAGTATTATATTTTCTAATTCCTATTATTTTATAGTATTTGAAGCAATCAAAGTATGAGAAGAAAAGTAAAAATTATAAATTTCTGATTCTTTGTAGAAATTATTGGGTCGACTTGTTCATTTGCCCTACAGTTATGATGGGAAGGTTCACGAAAAAAGTCATAGATGCTAAAATCCAACGTCTCGCATCATTAATACTAATATAAATTAAGAAATTTAATCGTCGACATACATAAGTCGACGAAATTCGTCGAGCTAATAACGTCGACGGAAAAGTCGACAATCACTGAATTGTTTTGCTTTTTTTTTTTTTTTTTTTCGTTTTTTGTAATCAGGCTTCGATGACACGAGGATTTCAGTTCCAAACTTCCGACATGTGACAGATTGTTTATATGTAACTACGTTTCTAGTAATGCTATCACTCGTCAAAATTGAACTATAATTTTGCAGTACCATCAATTTATGGCCAGTGACAAGAGAGAGGGACAACTAATGAGAAACTTCTTGTCACATCAGACAAGTAAACTTAGATCCAAAAAGTTTTTAACCTCCGTATAAATATGTCTTGCGATCGGCCCAGCAGATACTCATGCGTCAACATTAAACACCATTCGATTTCGGGCTCATTGTGATTTTTGTGTTGTTTTTGATCCAAAACAAAAACTCTAACATACAGACTACATGAAATACTAATAGAGATTTTTGCTAAAATGAACAAGAAATTGAAATGGTACATCCAACACTAGGAAGAATATTGTATCCTTCAAAGCTATAGAAAAATGGAAAGGATATTGAAAGGCTTTAAAAAACATCAGAACCAAATTTGGCATTTAACTTGAAATTCAAAGTGGTGAAATGAAATTGGCTTTGGTTTTGGTGGGATAAAGACTAGTGAGGAAGTGGGGGAATCATCATCAAACACGATCGAATGGACTCGTTTCCTTCCATCTCCACAAAATGGGGAATAAAGTTTTATAGAGAACCTATTGAAATGGAACCACGTTGAAAGGCCACATATGCATGCCTTATAATGCAAAATACTTGAATGACTAACGTGGGAGGAACCAAAAAGATTTGAAAGCATCATCAAAATCTTGCCAATTTTTTGCCAGAATAGAATTGGATGCATTCTTATCTTGCTAAATCCCATAACTTTTTGCCTATAAATGTATTGTCTCAACGCTCTTAACAAGCATCCAAAGACACAGAACCCAAAAAAAAAAAAAAATGCTATCTCAAATGCGTCGCCCTGCTGAATATGTCCAAACTAAGGAGTACTCCCGCGAGGAAGAGTATGTTGAATCAGAGGAGGTGACCTACACAAACACAAATCAAGGTTATGTTTACAAAAACAACAATGCCACAAACATGCAGATGATGAGGCCCTATCCCAACGTCGTTAATCCGCATCATCATCATCATCATATGGTTGCTCCTCCTCAGGGTCAGGATTTCTATGGGAATAAGCCTCAGGGATTTTTGAATGAAGGCCACTATGGGAATCAAGCCGGCTACAATAACTATGGAAGGCCCCAATATGGAGTCCCTGGAAACGGCAACAATATGTATCCTCAAGGGAATAACAACGGGTTCGGATACAACAGGGGATCTGAAGTCGCTAGGTGGATGGGCAGGGCTATGGATGACTGAAGATGATGAATCAGAGAATCATTGATTCCCTTACAGCAAATCTGTCCAACTCTGTACTATGCTTTATTATATTGTAGAGGGATTTGCGATCTAAGCAAAATCAGTCCTCCTAAATAAAGGCTTGGAAATTGTCTATCTATTATCAACTGAAACCAGTTTGTGTGTTTTGCGTTACTGCATATATGTATTCCAGTAGCAGGTGTGACAGTATTGGTTAAGTTGAGAACATTGCCTCGCCGAATTAAACAACCTACAATGAAGGAGTTAGAAAAACAATCACATAAATGCTCCCATTTTTTTCTACCGGAAAAGTATCATTCCATCTGTTACTTCAATTAAAATGTTTTTTTTTTCCTGTAAAAAATAATAATGGAAACCTAAATTTAATTATTCTACCGGAAACATCCCCAATTGCATTAATTTTTTTTTTTCTTTTCAGTTTGTTCCCCGCTTGTTATTGTAGGCCTAGTTTCATCAAATATTTAATCCGTTGAGACATGTGCAAACCAAATAATTTGACATTCCGTTTCGAATTAAATAATTATTGACCCTTACCAATCAAATTTTTATGTAAAACTAGTCCCAGTCTTTACTAATACTTGTGTAATATGAATCATAATTAAGAATATTTAAAAAAATATATTTCTCTGTTGGACTTAGTAATGTGTAATCGGGGAATATTAAATGCAATAGAAGCATTTTATTTTATTCTTGTTCGGAAAAATTAAATTCAGACTTTGAATAGTAAAATTTTTTGCTTAAACCTTATTCGAGACAAAAAGTGTTTTTTTTTAATTATTAAATTCAGAATAATAACACATTTTTTTTACATAGGAATCACAACAAAAACTAAATTACGAAATAGTATAAATCTCAAGAACTCTAATTTATAATTGAAAATTTTAATAGTATTTATATACAAGATTCTACATTTTTAAAATTTTCGTAGAACTTCTGATTTTTTTTCCTAGTCAATAGAGGCAAAGTACTATTTTAATATCAATGAATATGCTTTTTTTTTCAGTGTTATTGTTAATTAGTAATATCTCTTGTTTATGGTTTTTATTATCCTTATCCTTATACGTTTTATTACCCTTTGGTGAGTAAATTAACTACGGTGTTGTTTTTTATTTTTATTATCTTTATCCTTATACGCTTTTATTACTCTTTGGTGAGTAAATTAACTACGGTGTTGTTTATGGTGAGCTATGGAGGAGTAGTAACATTTTGAACTGTATAATCAGTTACGCAATATAGATTATAATTTATTGCCGAGCTTGAAAACAGTTTGAATAGATTAATTTAAAGGACAATAGGTTATTATTATGAAGATCTTTGTCTAATAGAAAAAAAACAAACACAGGAGACAATATTAGTTTGTGTTTTTGTGCCATCAATCTGGTCTATGCCCGCATTTCATTGAGATACTTTTGGCATTTAGAAATTCTTCCAAGGACATCTATACAAGCTTCCCATCAATAAGAAAATCAAAAACTTCAGTCTTCAAATCATCATTTATCACGGAATAATTAGCCAAAGCTTTATTAACATATATATTGCAAAATCAATTTGGCAACTTGGACAACAAAATTTTTCAAAAACTACTACTTTTATTCGCAAATACCAACAAAATGAAACAACCTAAAATAGTAGAATAGTTCCAAAAGGAACAATCAAAACCCACAGCAGCTGTAAACGGTTTATAATAATTATATGAAAAAACATTCTAGAATAATTACCAGCTTTAAGGAAACTACTAATAATAGTGGAGAGACCCAAGCGGGTGAGGTTGGAAGGAATGGTAATAGAGGTTGTTGGTGCTTTATATGGAGGTTTCAGCTTCGTCACAAACCGCACTCGAACCTGCCTTGAAGCTTCACATGTCACCGGAGCCTGAAAGATGTTTCTGATCATGCCATCAAGGGAAGTTTCTGATTGTGATATTTTTAGATGTTTACACATCTATTCTTTCATCCTTGAAGCTTACCGTGGAAGTTTCTGATTGCGTGCCGACTCTATCAAGGGCATCGGACGTCCGGAATTGGGGGATTGGGAAGCAGCAAGGATTAGAGGGGGAACCATAAAGCCCCAAAACGTTGTTGTTTTGGAGTTTGGAGTTTTCTACTCTAATATGGAAACCATAATTATGCAGCTAACCTCAAACTGATTATGGAACAACAAACACGTTAAAGAAATTATGCAATACTGATTTTTTTAGTAATTTTCGGGTCCCAACCCAATCACTCTCAGTCGTCATCTAAGTAATCATCAGATGTATACATGCCAATGATAGTTAGCAAAAAAACTTTAATAATTCAAGCTCGGGAGTAACTGGAAACTTCATTATGATCGAACCCAACATTAACATAACCGGGGAGGAGAAAAAAACCCAAAAACATAGTACCAAACAACTCAAAATCTTTGGAGGATTTCCATTCAATCTCCAGGACCAACTCATATTACCACGGAAGATTTCCATTCAATCTCCAAAGCCAAAGATTGTGGCTGCTCTGCTTTGGGGCATTTATTCCTCAATTTCTTAACAACTTCTCGCTCCAATTCCTTGTCTTCACGAACTGGAACCTGCTTAGCTTCACATATATTCTTATAATAAAGTAATTCCATGATTTCAAAAAAGATATAGGTGAAAGTGCTCAAATCTGAATTATAAAGCTCTGTCAAAACCTGAATTCAATCAATGGGCGATATCTATCATCAAACAGTATATATCATCTTGACTCTAAAATAAAGATTTAGAGCTACCAAATTCAATTATTTCATATTAATCCCAGGAAAAAAAATGTTTCAATAAATAGAAACCAAAAAATACAAAGAGACATGATGAATTCCAACAAATGAACAAATGAATTCCACAGATATGTAACTATTTTCTCAGCCGTCTGAGACTCTGAACCCTCGGCAAACTCTTCAGTTTCAATGTTGCTTGGAGAACATTCTGATTTCTCACACAGTTCACTGCATGTCTCCAAGGCCCATAAATCAATTCTAGGCAAAAAGATCAAGCACGAAACCACACTGGCACTTCTCACTGCCAAAAGAAAAGATAACTCAGATCATCTTCCGAATTACTTTTATCAACACAAGCTCAGGAAAAGAATCATATATAATCATAAACCTATTAATAAAAAAATTAATTAAAAAAAATCAATACGAACCCGTTGAGAAGATGAACAACCTGCATGAATTACCTCAGAATTGAAGAGATTGGAGTAGGCAAATCACCACCGGAATCTCAATCTTTGGCTTCTACCACCTTCGCCGGCGGCTAGTGTCTGCAAAGGATGGAGGAAAACAACGAGGAGACCTTGGAGAGCGGCGGAGGATTCGGGTTCCAAGTTTGATTCGTTTAATCGGTATTGCGATTCAATCGACGAGAATTAAGACTATGTACGAGATTGAATGGCCGATTCAATGGGCGTGGTGGTTTAAAAAGGAGTTGTCGCCGGTCGGGAGTAGAAGAGCTTATGCAGCCATCGTTAATATTTATAGGATGGGGGAGGGCAAGGAGGAACGACGATGTTGTTTTTTTGGCCTGTGGATTTTTCCTTAAAACCTGTGCTATTCTTTAATCGAGGGGGAATAAAATTTGGAAACAAAAATTCAGATTTTGTATTATTTATTAGAAGAAAACAAATTATGAAATTCCGGTTTTACCCATAATAAATAGCTGACATCATATCAACCCCATCCGACGGATGAGATCGATTCTATGGTGGTCTTTGAATATTTCTTGGGCATTATTTCTTGCCTACTGTGCCTTTTATTTAAATACTAGTCTTATATGACCAGTGTTTCGGTTGATTTTTTTTTACGATTTTTGTGTTTGAGAATGTTATAGTTAATTTCAACTACACGTTCCATAACAAACTTAATAGTTTCTGGAAAAAAGCGAAGTAATTGTTTTTTATTTTTTTCTGGAAAAAATATTAGAATATTGTCCAAATTGTTTTGTTTTAAAAAAATGAATATTACAAATTATCCTAAGAAAATCGAAAGGAAATTACTTGTGTGTGTTTGTGGGACAAAAGTACTTGTCCAATGTCAATACAGTTTAGCAATAGCCATCATCCCCGTAGCCGCTTATTCATCGAGTAAAAATAGTATGAAATGTGATGTTGATACCATAATTTCCAAGTCAAGCACTATGATTATGCAATCTCTACACATAATCATTGATTAAAAATTTTAGAGGATGAAATTCCTACAGAAACAAAATTGGATTGATTGAATGGATCAAAGTATAGACACCAACAACAAGGAGGAAAAAAAAAAAGAAAGATGCAAAGGAATATCAAAAATATAATATATTTGTGGATAGATTATCTATCACTATTTTCAACTTGCGACTCCCTAACTAATGCAATCTTCAAATCGAGCGATCAATGATCAGGCCAGAAAACAGCATATAAGCTGCTGCTAGCCTGATGCAGCAGCAAATAACAGCGTTCTTATTTAAACTTTAACTCTTTCAAAATGAATCAATCTTTTACCGTGCTACTCGATGCTTTTACGGAAAAACCATAAGAAGCTATCTCCTATGGAATTGCGCTTGCAACTTGAATGCATCAATTGGAAACTGAACCCACGGATTCGATTGTTCTTTAGCCACTTCCCTACACCAACATATTGGGAAACTGCACGTATTCAGATAAGCTTTATTCTAGCCTATATCATTGCCATACAATTTCAAAAACAAAAACAAGAATAAAGAACATTAACACCATATAAGGCCTAAGAAATACACTATTGTATATATGTATACATAGTATTCAGCATGCATGATTTGTCTGAACTAAAAATTACATATATAATTCCTGATTTTCGGATACACAAAGAAGCATGAGATGCAAAAACAAGAGCGACAACAGCACATCAAAACAATCACAACAAGACACAATAATAATCAGAGAATCAAAACGGGAAGTAGGTCATCAAACTTAATCATTATTGTAATTATGATTCTTCATGATTAATTAGTCAGTACGAAAATGATCAAAACAACAATAGCAACGACATACGTAGAAACTGCACGGGTGCTGTTGAAATTATTTAATCAACAACTACACATTGATCGTGCTTTAGACAAGCTTTAATGTAAATCAGCATTATTAGTCAGACATCCAAAAAGCAGCTCAGTCGATTCTGAGCAAGAGAGTAAGAACAGATTAAATTAATCAATGTCAATTATCATGTCTGATTAAAAGAGAAAAGTTGTAATCAAGAAAACCAAGTTATATATGACGGTCAATGCCAACTGTCAATGACTACTAAGCAAACCAAGTTGTAATCAATGCCAACTACCAATGTTGACGCATAATTGAACACATCAAGTTATAGCAAATTGATAATAGCAAACTCCCTGTTAATCTTAAACAAGA